GATACAAGATATATTTATATATTAAATAAAAACCCCGGCGGTGATTAAATACCACCAAAAGAAAGCTCTAGTTGTGTGAAGAAAATGATAAAATTTTAGTTTGGGTACAATGGGTACAATTGGGTTTGAATTGTTATTCAAAGTGTGAGAGCGCTGAAACGTGAAAACTGGCCTGGGCAGGAAAGTGTAAAAATTGCCCGGTATTGAAATGGTTAAAAAAAAATGTTTACATTTTTATTTAATTTTTTATATTATTATTTATGTTTTTTTGTTTTGTTTTTTTTACATACTGTCACCCTAGCAGTGTGGTGTCACCATGGTGACACTGTACTACTTGTGGGGGGTGATGAAGAAGATTTTTTTTTTTTTACACTGATTGCTTTACACCCATAAAGGCTGTAAAAGCAATCCTTTCTCCTTCTCTCTGGCTGCATTCTTGCAGCCATTGAGAAATACTGTGTGAGCTGTGATTGGTCACAGCTTGTCACATGCTACAAGGCTGTTGTGAATAGCCCTGTACCATGTGACCTCTGTGATCATTCACAGATTTCACACGTAGTAAGCAATGATGTCAGAAGTAACATCTTGCTTACTACTCTTCATGTGATCACTGATTGGCCAATCAGTGATCACATGATCGGGACCTCGCACAGATGTCCTGTACGATGATCAGTGTTCCACTGTGTCCGGAGGACACAGCAGGCACCGGATCGTGGTGCTGCACGCTCCCAGGGAGCGCGCCCAGTCCAAAAAAGGCGGACGCCTGGACTGCCACCGTCTGGCCGTTTATATACAGCGGCCGGACGGGAAGTGGTTGTTAATAAAATAATGAAATGCCTCTGCAATGTTCCAGTTGCACAGTAAGGCTGCCTATTATCCAGTCCTAAGACACCACCTGAGCAGCTGCTAAGGTCACCACCTCATCCCTTTAAAACCGAACACCAGGGGCGAACTGACAACTCATGGGGCCCTCAGGCAGTGCCCGAGTTTCCAAACGGTCAGTCCACCCCTGCCAATCACATATCATTTACACGGCTTTTGCAGCTAATTTAATGCCGATAAGTTACTAAGTGAGTCCAGTGACCACCTTCACCATCCACAGAGCCGGTCACTCATATGTGTTCGGTGGTAAAGGGATGAGATGCAGTCCTAGCCGGTGCACAGAGCACATTATTGTGGTAAGCAATGCACTTCAGAAAAATTCCTTATGATACACAATTTTTAAAAAGTAAAATAAAATCAGTGATAGCGCTGCCTGCCGTAATATGATGCCATTTGTGCCGGCTCAGTTGGCACATTTACACTGAATAAGAGCCGACCTTGCTGACCAGCTGCAACCAACACACAGCCATGTACAGTAAGGTGCTCAGATCCAGTCTTGGATTTCATTCATACCTCCTAAATGACCGGTGCTGCAAGTGTGCTGCAAATACCCCGAGGCGTCCCTAGGGTTGGTGTCACCCGGTGCGATAACAGTGACACCCCCTCCGACGATCCCCGCAGAATGGATGGGATCTGCGGATTGAGCAGAATGGATCAGACTCCGATCTATTATCCTCCCCAATCCACAGATCCGATCCATCATGCGGGGATTGTCGGCTTTGTTTCCAACTTACCTTTTTGTGGAGCGGGTCCGGTGTCACCCCGTATAGGTTGCATGCCGACGATCCCTGCAGGATGAATTGGATCTGTGGATTGGGGAGGATAATAGATCAGAGTCTGATCCATTATGCTCAATCTGCAGATTCCATCCATCTTGCGGGGATCGTCGGCTTGCTTTACAACTTATTTTTTCGTGGAGTGGGAACGGTGTCACTCCATGCGGTCGGTGTGTCAGCAATGCGGCACGAACCCCCCGCACCTGCCTCGGGACGCCACTACAAATACCTCCATCTGGGTTCCCAGGTGCTCCATTCATTGGCAGCTGCTCAGCCTGTACACCTAGGTGATGGACTGAACAGAGCCAAGTCTGTGTGTTGCTGTAAACACGTATCCGCCTGTATCTGCACATCCATTGGTTACCTGCAGGTAGGGATGCATGTCTGCCATTGGGACAAAATCTCACATATCACTGCCACATATCAGTGCCCATCTGAGCTGCCTTTCCGTTCCAGTCAGTGCTGCCTTTCAGTGCCCATCAGTGATACCTGTCAATGCCCATCAGTGCTGCCTATCAGTGCCTCCTCATCAGTGCCCATGACTGCAGCCTCATTAGCGCACATCAGTGAAGGAAAAAAATTGCTTGTTTACAAAATTTTTATAACAGAAACTTTTTTTTTTTAAATTTTCAGCTGTTTTCAGTTTGTTTTATCACCCCCCCCCCCCCCCCCCCCCCCCAGAGGTGATTGAATACCACCAAAGAAAGCTCTCTGTCCCACACAAAGGGGGTGAAAGTTCCCGGAAGGCGAGGGGGTGATAAACCTCAGGATTTCCGCTACATAAACAGTCAGGGCCGGTTGTCACTCGTGTCGCCCTCTGAAGAGGATCTGTATTCAGGTTGCTGTTCAGAGAACAATTGGCAGGCAGCGAGGAGGGGATGTGTTGCTTCTTCATCACCGGCTTCAACCACATTAACCTCTTCATGCCGGCCGAATGCAAATGTGCGACGCCCCCCCCCCTCCCGGAGTCTGGGCCGAGACGCTGAGCAGCCGCACATTTGCATTCTTTTAAAAAAGAACATACGTGCCGAGAGCGCGCACCCTGCCCCCTCCCAACACACGTGTCCGGTACTCACAGGAAGGTCCCGATCTCATATTTCCCGATCATGTGACCGGCGTGATGGCCCCGTATCCCAGCTTCTGAAACCCGTAAAGGGCCGGGAGGGGCCAAGGGGTTAAACCCTGAACCAGGGGCGGACTGACAACTCATGGGGCCCCCCGGCAATAGGGGATCATGGGGCCCCTGTGTCCTCACCCAAACTCAAAAAAGCCTATGAAAAATGTACCAGGGGCATCTCATGGGGCCCCCTACTGACCCCGGGCTCTCGGGCAGTTTTCAAATGGTCAGTCCGCCCCTGCCCTTAACTAGCGGGCCACAATCACTCTTGTATGGGCCCTATTCAGCTGAATGGTTTGCGCTCAGCAGGTGGTACGGCGCACTGAACTCTACAGGGGGATCATTTGTGCCGTGCTGCAGTGCAAAACTGAATGGCACCACTTTGCTGCCACACGGTTTTACCCCCCCCCCAACACAAGTGTAAACAATGCCTTAGAGTTGGAGAAGAGATGAACCCCCCCAGAAAAACAATGATCTGTGGCCCTGGAATCTCATGAAAGGAATCCTCTATGGATTAGAGCGGGGTGGGCAACTGTGGCCCTCCAGCCGTTGGTGAACTACAAGTCCCATCATGCCTCTGCCTTTGGGAGTCATGCTTGTAACTGTCAGTTTTGCAATGCCTCATGGGACTTATAGTTCTACAACAGCTGGAGGGCCGCAGTTGCCCACCCCTGGATTAGAGCATTGTCAGCCCAACACATTGAGATGGATGGAACAGGCAGACATGTTCAGGAAGACACACGCACACGTATGTAGAGCTGTATCAGAGAAGACTTTACCTCACGTTTTCAGCACAAGGACTGAGGAAGGTGCTGAGCCGGTATTATTACTGCACCACAGGCTGACACTACAATGGAAGGAAGGGGGAGGCTGTTTTCAGGCCCCCCGCACTCATGGATTGTGACATCTGAGGTAGGGGCAGTTTCAAGGCCCCCCTTCGCCTGCTTTCTCCTCAGGAGGTCAGATCACACCTGGTCCAGCTGTAGAAAATCTGCCCGGCAACATCCCCTGTCAGGTGACACAGGTGTGATCCGCCCGGAGACAAGAGAAGTCAGCTGACCCCTGGGAACATTCTGGAAGGTCACATGACCTTTATCCTGGGGTCAGCTGACCTTTTGGAACCTTCCAGAAGGGTGTTAACCCGTATAAAGAGGGGCTCTGTGATTGGCTCTGAGCCGGTCTGCAGACCCCTGGCTATAATAGAGGAGCTGTCAGCAGGGATCGGGGACATGAGGAGCCGGATGTGCCGCCTGACAGAGAGAGCCGGGGATGAAGATGGCGAAGAATGGATGCAGAGGTGCCGCTCCTCTCTCCACTCCCTCCACACAAGGATGGTGAGTCTACTCCAATACGACGGGAGCGGTGCAGGGGCGGGGGGCCATTTATAAACATCTTCCCCACTTCCCTGCCTGTGAGCGCCCCCTAGGTAGGAGGACACAGCAGAACACCAATCGCTGTACGGGACCTCTCTGTGAGGTCCTGATCATGTGAACACTGATTGGCCAATCAGTGATCACATACAGAGTAGTAAACAAGATGTCACTTCTGACATCATTGCTTACTACGTGTGAAATCTGTGACTGATCACCGAGATCACATGGTACAGGGCCATTCACAACAGCCTTGTACCATGTGACAAGCTGTGACCAATCACAGCTCACACAGTATTTCTCAATGGGTGCAGGAATGCAGCCAAAGAGAAGGAGAAATGATTCCTCTTACAGCCTTTATGGGTGCAAAAGCAATCAGTGTAAAAAAAGAATAAAAAAAAAAATCTTCATCACCCCCCACAAGTAGTACAGTGTCACCATGGTGACACTCTACTGCTAGGGTGACGGTATGGAAAAAAAAAAACATAAATAATAATATAAAAAAAAAAAATAAAAATGTAAAAAAAATGTTTAAAAATTATAATTTTAGGTTATAAACTAATTTGGGTTTTTTTTTACTAAAAAGATAACTGAATACATTTTGGCCAAGATTTATGAAAGAAAGATTATTTATTTGCAAAAACTGTATAAGAAAAACACTTTTTTAAAAAAAAATTGGACTTTTTAATTTATATAGCAAAAAAAAATAAAATCCCAGCAGTGAATAAATACCACCAAAATTAAGCTTTATCTGTCTCAAAAAAAATGCTAAAAAATGAATACAGTGTTGCATGACTGCGCAATTGTCATTCAAAGTGTGATAGCACTGAAAGCTGAAAATTGGCCTGGACAGGAAGGGGGTAAAAGTGTCCGGACTGGAAGGGGGTGAAAGTGTCCGGACTGGAAGGGGGGGAAAGTGTCCGGACAGGAAGGGGGTGAAAGTGTCCGGACTGGAAGGGGGGGAAAGTGTCCGGACAGGAAGGGGGGGAAAGTGTCCGGACAGGAAGGGGGTGAAAGTGTCCGGACTGGAAGGGGGGGAAAGTGTCCGGACAGGAAGGGGGTGTGAAAGTGTCCGGACTGGAAGGGGGGGGGAAAGTGTCGGACAGGACAGGAGGGGGGGAAAGTGTCCGGACAGGAAGGGGGGGAAAGTGTCCGGACTGGAAGGGGGTGAAAGTGTCTGGACTGGAAGGGGGGAAAGTGTCCGGACTGGAAGGGGGTGAAAGTGTCCGGACTGGAAGGGGGTGAAAGTGTCCGGACTGGAAGGGGTGTGAAAGTGTCCGGACTGGAAGGGGGGTGAAAGTGTCCGGACAGGAAGGGGGGGAAAGTGTCCGGACTGGAAGGGAGTGAAAGTGTCCGGACTGGAAGGGGGGGGGGGAAAAGTGTCCGGACAGGAAGGGGGAAAGTGTCCGGACTGGAAGGGGGGAAAGTGTCCGGACTGGAAGGGGGTGAAAGTGTCCGGACTGGAAGGGGGTGAAAGTGTCCGGACTGGAAGGGGGTGAAAGTGTCCGGACTGGAAGGGGGTGAAAGTGTCCGGACTGGAAGGGGGTGAAAGTGTCCGGACAGGAAGGGGGGGAAAGTGTCCGGACTGGAAGGGGGGGAAAGTGTCCGGACTGGAAGGGGGGGAAAAAAAGTGTCCGGACTGGAAGGGGGAAAAGTGTCCGGACTGGAAGGGGGTGAAAGTGTCCGGAATGGAAGGGGGGGAAAGTGTCCGGAATGGAAGGGGGGGAAAATGTCCGGAATGGAAGGGGGGAAAGTGTCCGGACTGGAAGGGGGGGAAAGTGTCCGGACTGGAAGGGGGGGAAAGTGTCCGGACTGGAAGGGGGGGAAAGTGTCCGGACTGGAAGGGGGGAAAAGTGTCCGGACTGGAAGGGGGGGAAAGTGTCCGGACTGGAAGGGGGGGAAAAGTGTCCGGACTGGAAGGGGGGAAAAGTGTCCGGACTGGAAGGGGGGGGAAAGTGTGTCCGGACAAGAAGGGGGGGGAAAGTGTCCGGACAGGAAGGGGGGGAAAGTGTCCGGACAGGAAAGGGGGGAAAAAGTGTCCGGACTGGAAGGGGGGGAAAAGTGTCCGGACTGGAAGGGGGGAAAAGTGTGTCCGGACTGGAAGGGGGGAAAAAGTGTCCGGACCGGAAGGGGGGAAAAGTGTCCGGAAGGGGGAAAACGTGTCCGGACCGGAAGGGGGGAGAAAGTGTCCGGACCGGAAGGGGGGAGAAAGTGTCCGGACCGGAAGGGGGGTGAAAGTGTCCGGACCGGAAGGGGGGTGAAAGTGTCCGGACCGGAAGGGGGGTGAAAGTGTCCGGACCGGAAGGGGGTGAAATTGTCCGGACAGGAAGGGGGGTGAAAGTGTCCGGACCGGAAGGGGGTGAAAGTGTCCGGACCGGAAGGGGGTGAAAGTGTCCGGACCGGAAGGGGGTGAAAGTGTCCGGACCGGAAGGGGGGTGAAAGTGTCCGGACCGGAAGGGGGGTGAAAGTGTCCGGACCGGAAGGGGGTGAAAGTGTCCGGACCGGAAGGGGGGTAAAAGTGTCCAGACTGGAAGGGGGGAAGTGTCCGGACTGGATGGGGGGGGAGTGTCCGGACCTGAAGTGGTAAAGAAGCAATGCCTCGTGTCCTATCATCATCGGGTTTCCATGTCAGTAATTAAGGAAAACATTTGCTAGTCACATTGTACTACTCTGGGGGAGGGATCAGGATATTTTTTCCCCACACATTAGGATTGCTGATACCGATGTATTTCATTGATATTAGCAACCATTGTTACTGAATGAAACGGATTCATTCAGTCTTTTGTTGTGATTAGCTGTGGTTGGGCAAAGCTGATCACATGATACAAATGAGCTGTAATTGGCCTTGTCTGTACCATGTGACCGCTGTGACCAATCACAGCTAACAACACAATTGTATACAAGGATGGCATGATAGGAAGCCATCCATTGTATACAATTATCATGTGATCTGTTGTGATTGGTCACATGACACTGGCAGTGGGTTAGTTTAGTGATCTGTCATCGGCTTTGTCCCGTGGAAACAGCCGGTGACAAATCGCGCCACTTTCCTGCCCCCCCCCGGCCGTGTGAGTGGCACCTTCTAACAGGACACCATATGACACCCACTCAGAAGAAGGAGTGTCTCGCCCATCAATCTGCTCTAGACCGGGCCTGAAGGTGTTAAGTAATGAAGTAATGAGGAATATCTTTGTGTGTGGACTGATTGCTGATTCTCGTCTCACGGGATCTTCCCTTGAAGCAGTTGTATTGGGGTGACAATAGGATCTGTTGCTAGTGAGGCCGTAGTGGGTTGGATGGAGCACGGGGTTCAGGTCAGGTAGGCTGGATTACTCTGAGGGTCTCCCAAGGGGGTGAAATCTGAACAAAGCCTTAAACTGGGATCCCTGGGGGCCCCATGCAAAGAGAGGTTTTGTGGTTGGCTGCTCCAGCCCTGCAAGAACACTGTCCCCCCAGCTGAGGCCGAACCCTCCGCCATATTGTGCCCTGCCATAGGCCTCCACACGACATTCCAGGTCATAGACCTTTATATCCAAAGGAAGGAATGTCCACACAAGAAATAGGTTTGCTGCACTTTATTAATGGCATTCAGGAAGCGGCATTACAGTCACATTACAGGACATACATTCCAGAATCACTTGGCATTACACAGTCAGTCACATTTAGCAGACGGTCCGCAGTAGTCACAAATGAAAGCATGTGCAGCACTTCAGCAGTTATCTACCTACAGTCTCTCCTCTGCCCAGGGTCATAGCACTCATATTCAGGGCATTGGATAAGTGGGTACCACCAGTCCTTCTGTACGGGACGGGGCCCAGGCCAGCAGGGGGGCCCAGGCAGGTAGCTGGGTGAATCAGTTGTGGGTAGGGAGGGTGATCTGCACGGAGGGGGAGGCAATAATTACTGGAACTGATCCCCTGTATGGCTCTTTCTGCAGCAGCTGAAAGCCAGCTCTTCTCCTCTCCCTCCTGCTGGCCCCATCTCCTCTGATTGGCTCCCTCATGAACCAGAGAACTTTGATTAATGGATATTTGGCCCCCGGGGTGACATTTCCATATATGAGTGATGATCGCCCCATTTTTTTTCTAATCGAGGAGGGGATTTTTTAATAATTTTGAGGTCATTCTTGAAAAGAAACTTGGAATAATGTACCACCGCCTTGTACCGCTCTGCCTCATTCACTATATCCGCTCTCCCCGGACCCGGCATTCACTATATCCGCTCTCCCCAGACCCCGCATTCACTATATCCGCTGTCCCCGGACCCCGCATTCACTATATCTGCTCTCCCCGGACCCTGCATTCACTATATCCGCTCTCCCCGGACCCCGCATTCACTATATCCGCTCTCCCCGGACCCCGCATTCACTATATCCGCTCTCCCCGGACCCCGCATTCACTATATCCGCTCTCCCCGGACCCCGCATTCATTATATCCGCTCTCCCCGGACCCCGCATTCACTATATCCGGTCTCCCCGGACCCCGCATTCACTATATCCGCTCTCCCCGGACCCCGCATTCACTATATCCGCTCTCCCCGGACCCCGCATTCACTATATCCGCTCTCCCTGGACCCCGCATTCACTATATCCACTCTCCACGGACCCCGCATTCACTATATCCGCTCTCCCCCGACCCCACATTCACTATATCTGGTCTCTCCCCGGACCCCGCATTCACTATATCCGCTCTCCCCGGACCCCGCATTCACTATATGCGCTCTCCCCAGACCCCGCATTCACTATATCCACTCTCCCCAGACCCTGCATTCACTATATCCGCTCTCCCCGGACCCCGCATTCACTATATCCGCTCTCCCCGGACCCCGCATTCACTATATCCGCTCTCCCCGGACCCCTGCATTCACTATATCTGGTCTCCCACAGTATACAGAACATGGAAAAAAAATAATTATTTTAGTCATTATAAACTGCTAAATCCCTTTTCTTATCAGCAGTATATAGAAGTCTTGTGACTTCTATCAGTGTCCAGCTGAGCACTGGTTTAAAGCTTGTAGGAGGAGTTTTCATTCTCCTCTACCTGGCCTATGAGGCTGCATCACCCCTGACTCTTTGTTTGAACAGCACTGGTTGGCTCTGTACTGATCCCATGCACTCTCCCAAAGATAAAAAAACTCTTTAGCCATACACACTACATTGAGCATGTGCAGAGTGACTCCTAGAGCTCTGTACTGTCAGCAGATGGATTGGGGACAGTAGATGAAGGAGAGGATCAGAGAAGACAGAATCAAACCGCCTTTTAACACAATGCAGAGGATTAACCCCTTAGGTCCCACAGTGAGTATAACAAGCACGCTTTACTGCATCTACAGACCGATTGTACTGTTGGGGGTTCAGTAACACTTTAAGTGTACTTTGATGGGTGGTCCACTGCATTTCTCTCCCTTGTGCCTTCAATGCATCCCCTCAAACTATGAATGCAAATCTTGGTGCCTCCTAACTACAATCTGTTCAGTCTATACACCTTAAATGGCTGCTTCCTGTTCCAAAAGTTTGTGGCCAATTGTTCGAAGATGTGGTAAGTATGGGGGGGGAGGAGTGTTTGTGGGCGTGGTCCACAGATTTCATTTTGAAAATCTGACCCCACTCTCGGGGACAGTAGTCACTAGAAAGGTTTTCCCCAACTCAAGGTTTCCCCTCTACTCCTGTTCTAGTGGTCAAAATGGGGACATTAATTCTCCGGGACAAATAGAGAGGGTGAATCATCCCAATGGGGGTACAAACAGACATAAAAAACCGACAGAGGGGCCCAACCCTTACCCACTCTATCCAAAGCTAGGCCCATGGTAAATCCCATTAAACCATGCAGAAATATTTATTCCCCTGATTGATAAAGTGTATCTGTGGTGAAAATAAGATCGGAAGACCTTCATTGTAAAGTAAAATCTACAATTCTACAACGCTATCTCTCAGAAGATAAAACCTAACAAACCAAACACTCCCCGCCCACTTTATTAGGTCCGCCTGTTCCATGGATTGGTAACACAAATTGCTAATCAGCCAATCACATGGCGGCAACTCAATGCATTCAGGCATCTAGACGTGGTGAAGACGACTTGCTGAAGTTCAGACTGAGCATCAGAATGGGGAAGAAAGGGGATTTACGTGACTTTGAACGTGGCATTGTTGTTGGTGCCAGACGGGCTGCTCTGAATATTTTAAAAAAACTGCTGATCTAAAATATCCAGTGAGCAACAGTTGTGTGGAGGAAAATGCTTTGTTGGTGTCAGAGGTCAGCGGAGAATGGGCAGACTGATTCCAGATGATAGAAAGGCAACAGCAACTCCAATAACAACTCGTTACAAACCAAGGTGTGCAGAATACCATCTCTGGACACACAAACACGTCCAACCTTGAAGCAGATGGGCTACAGCAGCAGAAGACCACACCGGGTGTCACTCCTGTCAGCTAAGAACAGGAAGCGGGGGCTACAATTCGCACAGGATCACCAAAATTGAACAATAGAAGATTGGAGAAACATTGCCTGGTCTGATGAGTCTGGATTTCAGCTGCAACATTCAGATGGTAGGGTTATAATTTTGTGTAAAAAACATGAAAGCATGGATCCATCCTGCCTTGTATCAACGGTTCAGGCTGGTGGTGGTGGTGTCATGGTGTGATGGATCCATCCTGCCTTGTATCAACGGTTCAGGCTGGTGGTGGTGGTGTCATGGTGTGTGGTGGATCTATCCTGCCTTGTATCAATGGTTCAGGCTGGGGGTGGTGGTGGTGTCATGGTGTGGTGGATCCATCCTGCCTTGTATCAATGGTTCAGGCTGGTGGTGGTGGTGTGGTGTCATGGTGTGGGGGGGATCCATCCTGCCTTGTATCAACGGTTCAGGCTGGTGGTGGGGGTGTCATGGTCTGGGGGATCCATCCTGTCTTGTATCAACGGTTCAGGCTGGGTGGTGGGGGTGTGTCATGGTGTGGGGGGGCGGATCCATCCTGCCTTGTATCAGTAGTTCAGGCTGGTGGTGTGGTGGTGGTGTCATGGTGTGGTGGATCCATCCTGCCTTGTATCAATGGTTCAGGCTGGTGGTGGTGGTGTCATGGTGTGGGGGATCCATGCTGCCTTTTATCAACAGCTCAGGCTGGTGGTGGTGGTGTCATGGTGTGGTGGATCCATCCTGCCTTGTATCAATGGTTCAGGCTGGTGGTGGTGGTGTCATGGTGTGATGGATCCATCCTGCCTTGTATCAATGGTTCAGGCTGGTGGTGGTGGTGTCATGGTGTGGGGGATCCATCCTGCCTTGTATCAATGGTTCAGGCTGGTGGTGGTGGTGTCATGGTGTGATGGATCCATCCTGCCGTGTTTCAATGGTTCAGGCTGGTGGTGGTGGTGTCATGGTGTGGAGGATCCATCCTGCCTTGTATCAAATGGTTCAGGCTGGTGGTGGTGGTGGTGTGTCATGGTGTGATGGATCCATCCTGCCGTGTATCAATGGTTCAGGCTGGTGGTGGCTAGGCGGTCATGTCATGGTCTTTGTGGGGGATCCATGCTGCCTTTTATCAACGGTTCAGGCTGGTGGTGGTGGTGTCGTGGTGTGGGGGGAGATTTTCGTGGGCATTAGCAAGGTGGACCTAATAAAGTGGCCAGTGAGTGTAGAAGGGGAAGTAACACTTAAAAGCTGTAGAAAACAAAACGAAGTAACAAATGACTGTTGTGTAACTTATCGTTCAACTTGTTTTTTTTGTTTTTTAATCTTTGCTTTGCTTGTACATATGAACACAATTTGGAGTATGGCTGGACTTCTCATGTCTCTGTGCTCTTATAGTATCAAAAAGACTAATCAGATGGGGACTTTTGAGGCACAACATATTTTATAAAACACATTTTTATATCATCCATAGAGAAGGTATTTAAACCAACATACTTCATCCATTAATGTTAAATACCTTCTCTAATGGATGATATAAAAATGTGTTTTTATAAAATATGTTGTGCCTCAAAGGTCCCATCTGAATATTCTTTTTTGATACTACAATAGATTTAGTGATGTGACATATCGTTTTTGGATTTTTTTAGATTTTGGTTGTCTCTGTGCTCTTATTTGTGGTATTATAATTTGGAGACGGAAATTAATCTGGCATCCTGTGATTGTAATTTTTGATTTCTAAAAAGTGAAAGTGGAACAAAGGTTCAGAACATCTTATTTCCCACAACTCGGACGTCTTTTCACAGTTCTCTTGGACTGGATCCGGGATGGATGGAGCAATGAGGAGCGGGCTGAAAATTTGCACATGTGATCTTTCTTCTCCTCCTGGGATCAGGTCAGTGTCACTTCTTCTGTGTATAATGTCATTGTACCTGAGATACATTCAGGGGCGGACTGACAACTCATGGGGCCCCCGGGCAATAGGGGATCATGGGGCTCCTGTGTCCTTGCCTAAACTCAAAAATAGCCTATGAAAAAGGTAACCAGGGGCATCTCATGGGGCCCCCTACTGACCCCGGGCCCTCGGGCAGTGCCCGAGTTTCCAATGGTCAGTCCGCCCCTGGATACATTACAGAGCCGGACAATGGGGGTTCTCTGGCCTGTGTCCTCCTATGAGGGATTCTCACGGCCTCTTCCCTCTATGACCTGCAATCCATACATAAAAAGTTAAAGCGGAACTCCAAGAAAAGTAAAAATCCT